AAGGTATCATTAGCATAGGCATTCTCCTTTGGTGATTCGTGAATAGACCTAACCCTACAGTTTCCTCTGAGAAGACATAATTTCTGATCTGCACCTACCTGTACTGAGAATTATTACATTCATGGTCTTCTAGGGATGTTGATTGGGAATTTGAGTTGCAGCCCCACATGCTGGAGGGCACTTGGCTGGGGACCTCTGGATAAAATGACCCAGTTCTCCAGGTAGGGTCTCTCAGAAATATTGCAGGCTCATTGAGAAGAGCAGGAAATTCTGTCAAAAGGCAGCAAGACGTGTCTGTGGCAGTGGTCCTTGAACTGTTTAACCTAATTAACTTCTTTTCCCGGTCTCGAATAATGTCATTATTCCCACAAAAAAAGTGGACTCTTGTTTTACACAACCATCTCAGCAGTGGCAGTCCCAGACTGGAACCTTGACTCACAAGAAGCCCTTGCCAATTGTTCCATTACCCTCAGGATATGCCCAAATTACCCCCTTGGTAATTACCCCCAAGTTAAAAACCATGGGCTCAGAAGAGCTTTTAAGTATTTCATTACTGCATTAAATATTATTGCAGCAAATTAACCATTATTTTGCAGGGCATGCGGAAGAATTCAAACACAATGCCTGGCAATGGTTGGCCGGAGACAAAGTTCTGCTTATTTCCTATTTCTTCAGTCATATTTTGTGAGCATGATTTCAGTACTGGCTAATGAATTTCATATCCTGAAAATGTTTGCACTGGCTAAGCCCATAGGGTGGCAGAGGTCACCATTATTATTCAGATTCATTAAAAAAAAAAAACTTGCTACCAGTCCAGTTTGGCAGCAAGGTAATAGTCCTGACATCCTCTAGGCTCTGTGCACCAAAATGTTTACCAAGGTTTCAAGAGATCAACACGCAAGCTGAACTCACTGCAAAAGTGCAACAGCTCAGATTTAGCAAAATTATCACAGTTGGTCAAAGGATTAGTCTGGTAGATATTCTGTGTTGATCTGTTAAAGTTTTCAAATGCTTCTTTATTTTAATCCCAATCTCATTTTTGCTGTTGGGTGCTCAGATGTTGGGCAGTTTACTTTAAATGCCAGTAAGGTTATTTTCCAAAATGGAAGGGGAATCTGACTGACAAAGTTAGGAGATTAACCAGTGTGATGGAAGAGGATCCATAGAATTTCTACTACTCATAGAAGATGCTTGGTGTTATTTGGCTTCCTCGGACAAAACCTCTTTCTCTTCCTCTTTCCAGCAATGCTGCTCCTGGACAAAGACAGAGTAGAGTCCAGGTAAGAAATAGGAATCAAATAAACTTTGTGCAGGTCTACTGAAAAGAAAACCCTGTTAAGTGAAATGGTGTTTTTCTGCAAATATAAACAGATCGTAGCTTTATCCCAGTTACTGTACCACTAATCCAATATCCTTAAAATACACTGGTCTTCAGTTCCATAATTTTGAATGATATAACCCATATTTGCTCAGATAATGGGAACATAATTTCAATGCTACTACTACTACTACTACTTTATTAAACTTGTATGCCACCCAACTCTCGACAACTCTGAGGAATGCTGCTATACACTCTTTACCAGTGTGGTGAGTCCCACTGAAGTGAAAAAGTTGACTTATGAGTAGGTACATGGAATCACTGTATAATCATTTATTCTAGTTTTGGAAATTATGCTAGTATTACTAAGAGTTTAGAAACTGAGTTAACTGATGTCATTGTTGTTCATTCGAAACTTTGTTCATTTGAATATACCCAATTGGGATATTAGTCACCCATCAAAAAGGAAACTATCAGCCTCAAAGTTGCCCTTAGTTAGGGCTATTAGAACAGGAGTGCCAAAATCCAGATGACTAGAAAGCAGCAAATAATAATAGCTTTTAGTATCTCTCTGCTGCCATCCAATGGTTCTCTGCCTTTTTGTAGGTCAAATTTGGTAGCTGTACCCTTAGTAGTTATTTTACTTTTTCAGGTATTCAGTGTGTTTGATGAAGATGAGGATGATTGCTTTGACTTCACCCACTAGTCTCTTTTAACTCTACCCATTTTTTTTTCCTGATGTTGCTTGCTTTTTTTAATGTGGCTGTTGGCATGCCCATAAGACTTGAATGTGTCTGCCTGTCCATCTGCCTTCTTCAGCAAATGTTTTCTTCTGGGCAGATGAGCCAGGGCATCTCTTCACTGTCTTTTCTTTAATGGCAGGATCCCACAAAAGGTGCTGCCTGGTCTTCTAAGCCTGGCATCTCAATATAGATCACAACATGGCTTCCAGTGACATGGCAGACAGCACTAAGACGACCAGCTCCAGGTAAGCCTGAAGCTTGTTTATGGAGGGCTGGGCCTGAATAAAAGCATAAAAGTATTTTACCATATACTGTATGAGTAGAGAGCAATGGACAAGGATGCCATCAAGACCTTATGGATCCTTCCTTTGACAAGCCTATCTCACAAGCTATTGTAAGGCAACAATTGAGAGAAATGAATCCCATATAAGACAGCCAATGTGGTGAGATGGTTGAAGTGTTGAAGTACGACTGGGGAGATCCTGATTCAAGTCCAGTCTCAGCCATGAAAGCTTACTTGGTGACTTTGGGAAAGTCATTCCCTCCCAGATGAAATAACTTCTGAGGGTTCTCGTTGTGGAGATAAATTGAAGGAAAGAGCACTATGTTCATTGTCATTAAAAAACAGTGATTAATCATTCCCTGAATTCAACCTCTCACCATCCTCTCCCCTTTAGCATTTCAGAAGTGCTAGACCTCTGTCAGGTTGATGCTGAGACCATTCTTGGCAACTTGGGGTTCACAGAAGAATTAGCACAGGCTGCCACTTGGATTCCTGCTCGGTTCTTCTCTCTTCCATCCCAAGCTGAGGGCATCAATTTCCAGCTCTTTCTAAGAGCTCAGATCCAGCGGATTGAGATGGAGGATCCTTGCCTGATGTTAGTAAGTAAGTGTCTCTTTCATGATTGGAGGTTCTAAAAGTGGGCTCTCAAAGGATGAGAACACCTCTTTCTTGACAATGACAGGCCATTGTTCAATGGCAGAACATCTGCTTTGCATGAAAAGGGTCTTGGGTTTGATCTCTCTTATCTCCAGGTGAAAATGATCAGGTAGCAGGTAACACCTCAGGAACAGGGTGGGGAATCTATGGCTGATCAGATGTTGTGGAAGTACTATTCCCAATAGCTCTAGTCAGCACAACCTATAGCAAGTAAAGCTGGAAGCTGGGGTTCAGCAATATCTGGAAGATCATGTGGTTCCCACTTTTGAGTAAATAATAGGCATGTTTAGGGCTTAACACTAAAGTTAAGAGGATTAGCACCAGGTGTATCTCTGTGCCTATCTGTCTGCACCTATATCTATCTATGTGGTATAACTCTCTGTGCTTGATTACAATAGAGATAAGACCATGGTGGGACTAGTTGTCTCACAGTTGGCAGGAAGGAGAAAGCAAAAGCATCATCTGAAAATGCTGGCAAGTGTACAGTTGTATGGGTGGAGGAAAGTGCCTCAGGATTTGCCATGTTGACCATGCAGTGGTATGGTTTAACTACAAATTGCAGTGATGATATTGCAAATTGTATTTAACAATGTAGAAAGGAGAAGCAATTTGGGAGGATCTGGGGGACACACAAAAGCTTGGGGGGCAGGCCACAGATTGCCCATCCTTGGTCTAGGTATACATACTGAGACTCCATGGCCTTATAACCTTGGAGGGTGCCTCTAAAGGCTTCCCAAAATTATCACCAAACAATAGTCTTTAATATGAAAGGTGGGAAGGGGAAAATCATTACATGTGTAATTTTAATCATACAAACTGTGATTAATTTTAAGTGTGTTTAAGTGTAAATTAAATCAAATTGAACTTAGTGGACATGTTGGTTATAGGAGAACAGCTTTCTATGATATTCCTCAAAAGATATGTAAGCAGTTAGTAGGGAGGCACAAAACCTGACAATCTTTAGTTAATTTTACTTACCTGAAATATTATTTCAGCAGATGGGATCACCAGGTTTTACCTTATATGGGCTCAGCAGTTGAGCAGTATTAAGCCTGGTTAAAACTTGGATGGGTGATCACCAAGAGCTGTATGAGCTGTAGATTAGAATGGGAAGTCGAAATCATTCTGGAAGAAGGCAACCACAGCTTCCATATTGCTGCCAAGAAAACTGCATGGATATATCATTATTTTACCAGAAATCAAACTTTTCTCTGGAACAGTAGGATGGCCATGCAAAGGAATGCTAAATATAGGAAAGGACATTAAAGGTGGTTCTAAATTGTGCCAGATGTGATTTACACAATCCTGAAGTTGCACAAGGAGTGAAAAACACAGAGGCTATCTTTTTGGGCACACATAACATGGGAGCTGCCTTTTTGGTGCATGCACAAACAGGTGCCTATTCACTCGTGCGCAAAAACTAGCTAACCTATGCAAAATCCAACATTTACAAGGGATCCAAGAATGGAACAGAGATGTAAGTCCGAGGATGCCTCTGTATGTTAATTTGCCCAAACCATCCAAAGTAGACATAGTGTTACTAAATTATTTTTTAAATGAAAGGGCAAACATTCAAATGTTTGTCATCATACCAATGTGTTTACTCTCATCTGGGAATGTGCATTGCGGATTCTTGGCTGCAAAGATGTGAAATATGGAAGATTAAGAAGCAGCTAGTGCCTTTTCAATCGGAATGGTTTTTTCTCTGACACATCTCACTGCTCTTTTTTCAGGTCGGTTCAGACATGTCCAAACTCCGGGTACAACAGCTGATGATTGCTTCTGCCTCTATTCATATATATCTAAGACACCAGTGCAGGAGATCCCACCTGGCCACTTGTTCTGGGCCTTTCCAGAAATCCCAGATTCCTGGGATGTTCCTTCCCAGCCAGAGTCTTCCTCTCCTCTTCATAGCTTGCAAAAAGCGATGTGCTTGTATACCTCGCCCCCGAAAGAATGGCCTCCAAGAGCATTCAGTATGGAGTCTCCTGTGAACTGCCTGAAACAGGAAATGTGGGAAGTGATAGAAGAGGCTCACAAAGACCTATTTCCATTTAACATGGAGGACATGGAGGATGACATGCAAGCAGTGCCAATTAGACACTCAGTTTGCCACAGTAGAATGGGCAGAAGGATGGCTTCTTCAGTGTCTGCCTTCATAGAGGCAGCTCCTGTGATTTCTCCCTGCTGCTACTGTGACACTCCATCGTATTCTTGGAAAAACACAGAAATATCCTTGCCAGGATTAACAGGATGGCTTTCTTTCCCCTTTCGTGGGACAAGAAAGAAGAAGTTGGACAATGTTGGCCGTCAAGAGTTATGCCATTTTGGAGATCTTTCTCCCCCAGAGGCTGCCTCTCCAGATGAAAGTAGTGAAGAATCGGATGAAGAGTAACCCCATGAGTGGAGAAAAGGACCGTATGGACACCTTGATCGGGTTATAATTTAGTGTGTGCACAAAGAACAGGAATTTAACCTATCATACATCATCTTAATCATGTACTCTGTGGCTAATCCCATGTATTTA